AGACATTCGGACTGGTGAATCCCAATAGTTGCTGGCTGGTTTGCAGAATGAGGGTTGGTTGAAAGCTTTCTTCATGGTCGGTGGAATTCGGGTCACTAAATTACGGTTGTCATGACTGTTGTGATTAGAGTTTCTTGGTGATGAACTTGGATTTTGATGATAATTTTCGTCGACTTTTCAGTGGTTGGGGCTGTGGAGTTGGTTGTGGAGCTGGCTGTGGGTTGAAATCTAGTAGTGCTCTTGATGTGCTTGGCTGGTGATGCCTTGCCCAATGAGGGCCCCACCTAATTTTGTAAGGGACGCCGGGCGCAGTTCCCGGCTTTTATAAAGACATTGTTCAGTTCAAAAATAAATTTAAAAAATTGTACAGTTTATTGTTCCGCACAACATAATGTTTTTTGGGTGTTTTTTTTTTTTTTTTTTTTTTTTTTTTTTCCAACAGGGACCTTCCGCAAACAAGGTGACCCACGAGGTCCGGTTTATAACAAAGGTTATAATACAAATCTTCTCTTGAAGGCCATGAGGAGGTGGCCGAAGAGAGAGGGTTAACAGAGGCCTAAATTTTCAGGAGGGTTTATTCATGATCTTTATAATAAACCTCGGGCACCTTAGCCGCCAGACTTGTCACCAGTCGGTAGAGTGGCCACCAAATAAACCAACAACCTACAAAGTAAACTAAACTGCACTTTTCAGTGCTTGGGGGGGCGGGGAGAGGGGGGGGGAATCCTACGGCTGAAAAGTGGCAGTCCTTGTTAACCTCTTGTGTGACTGAAACCTATCCCATCTGGAGCAGCCAGCTCTTTTTTTGGGGGGGGGTAACTTCAGTAGAGTCACGAAAACGAGTTATAATTGCAGTATGGGGCAAGATACAGTTTGCAATTGCACTCCGGGCACCCTACCTGGCCAGACAGTGGGGTTGTATGCATTGCCCGAACTGCAATTTGAAACTGTATATTCACCCATAGTCTAGCTTTCCATCCCGGGAGCCCGGGCCACCCCAGGTCGCCCGGAATGCGCTCGGGGCGCCCGGCCGTGCAACCCCCCCGGCCAGGCAGCCGCGCCCCCACAGCGCCGCCCCCCATATCGCTTCAAAAAAAAAAATCCACGACGTGGGCTGAAGGTCCACAGGGAAAAACAAATTCTGGCGGCGGCCGCAAATTTTTTCGGGCTCCGGTAGGCCCCATTTCGGTTTTTTTTTTTTTTTGGACCTGGGCCGTCGATCTGCATTGATCGACGGCGCGGAAGTCCCAAGGTTTTGAATTCGAATCTTGGGACTCCGTGCGCAGCCCTGTGCCCTCCGTCCTCCCCGCGCCAGGTCGTTTCCCTGCCTCGATCGACCGCGCCGTTGTCGCCCTGCCGTGGTCATCCGCGCCATCGTCATTGTTGCCCTGCTGAGTCATCGTCGTTGTCACCCTGCCACCCTCAGGCCGCGCCATCATCGTCGCTGTCAAGCCGCGCCATCCTCCTCGCCCCCGAGGAAGAGTGCTTGCACCGCCATCGCCCACTGAGGCAAGTTTTTTTTTTCTTCTTCTTCGTTTTGTTGTTGTTTTTGTTGTTGTTGTTTTTGTTGTTGTTGTTGTTGTTGTTCTTCTTCTTCTTCTTCTTCTTCTTCTTCTTCTTCTTCTTCTTCTTCTTCTTCTTCTTCTTTGTCGTTTCGTCTCATTCTTCTTCCTCTTCTTCCTTCTTCTTCTTCTTCTTCTTCTTCTTCTTCTTCTTCTTCTTCTTCTTCTTTGTCGTTTCGTCTCATTCTTCTTCCTGTTCTTCTTCTCCTCCATTTCGTCGTGTTCGTCGTGTTCTTTTCTTTCTTCGTCATTTCTTCGTCTTCTTCTTTTTCTTCTTTGTCGTTTCTTCTTCTTCTATGTCTTCTTATTCTTCATCGTTTCTTCTTAAAGTTTCCCTTCTTCTTCATCATTTTCCTTCTTCTTCTGTTTCTTCTTATTCTTCATCGTTTCTTCTTAAAGTTTCCCTTCTTCTTCATCATCTTCCTCTTTCTCCTCTCCTTACTCTATTCAGTTCGTCTTGGACGCCAAAGTCTTCTTCTTCTTATTTCTTTCTTCTTCTTCGTTAGGGTTGTGCTCCTAGTAGCCTCCTACCTCCTCCTACCTCTTTTAGAGTTCTGCTCCTACCTCCTCGTACCAACAGCCATTTCGTCAAAACGGACATATTATATTTTTTGAACGAAATCAAAACTGACTTTTTTTGCCAAAATCCAGTCGGAATTTTTTGCTCCTGGGGGTCCCCCCTACATGTATATGGTCTATGGTTGAGACCAGATACAAATTTTTTTTTTTTTTTTTTTTTTTTTTT